TTTGGGTCTCTCACACCAAGAAAGAAATTGGGGGTGGAGCATGGCCAGTAAAGGGAACCGAGCTGGGGAAGGGTCTGAAGAACAATTACTGTGAGGAGCAGCTGAGGGAACTGGGGGGGTTCAGCCTGGAGAAGCAGAGCAGAGGCTGAGGGGAGACCTTACGGCTCTCTCCAACTGCCTGAAAGGAGGGTGCAGAGAGGTGGGGGTTGGTCTCTGCTCCCAGGTGACAAGCAATAGGATGAGAGGAAATGGTATCAAGCTGCACCAGGGGAGGTTTAGTCTGGATTATTAGGGAAAATTTCTTCATGGAAAGGGCTGTCAGGCATGGGAACAGGCTGCCCAGGGAAGTGTTTGAGTCACCATCCCTGGAGGGATTTAAGAGACATGTGGATGAGGCACTTAGGGACATGGTTTAGGGTGGGCTTAGCAGTGCTAAATTAACAGTTGGATTTGATAATCTTAAAGGTCTTTTCCAACCTAAACAATTCTATGATTCTGTGAAATACAAAAATACTGTTACCTCCCAGAACATAAATTAACGGTCTTTATTTATCGCACCAGAGGTGACACACATATCCTTAAGGAACAGCAGTGTTCTTGCAATGCTGGTGGTAATACATACTGCCTCGGGAAGAAGGCAGACACTGAACTCGAATACAACTTTTTAGGTTTTAAAATCCATTTACTTGCAATTTTTAACTCAAACTGGGCACGGACATAGACAAAGAATGTGTCAAACCAGCCCTGTGTCACCTCACAGAGGAGAGGCCAGAGAAACCGATTTGGTAAGGAATCCATTTCCTGCCGCAGCCACTTTCACCATCTTGTACCGACAGGGAAGGCTGCAGCGGACTAAGGAGCTGGAAACTGCCGATTCCATCCACGTGGAATGCATCGCTGAATCAGGCTACATGCAAGAGAAAGCACTAATCACTCCAAATGATGTAAGATCATCTAGAGTTTGCTAACATTAAAGCTCCACATTCCACTTCAGTTTTTCATGTTTAAAATCATTCAAGATGGGGCATGATCAAAACTGACTAGATTCAGCATTATCCCAGTGTGTGGACACAGGTAAGCCTGGCAATGTCAAATACTTCTAAATCCGAGTAAGCTTTTTTCCATTCATTAAACAATATATTTATTTCAGTGTGTATCTCTGTACTGCAGATGACAACTTATACAGCACTTCAGATGGCCCGCACTCCTCACCCCAGCCGTGAAACTCACTTTGGCTAGCAGCTACAAAATCTCACTTTCTGCCCAAGAGCCACATCTTCAGTGCAAACACAACTGTGCTTCTCAATGAACAACCAACCTGCAAAACACTCCTTCAAAACACTCTCCTCGGAGTGCTAGTCGTTAACGTGAAAATTAAGGCATTTTCTAACAGATTAAGTAAACGGTTAAATGCTGGGTACTTGACTTCATTCACCTGAGCCAACAGCTGCGCACCTTATAAAGGTAACTCGCTGACCTATGATACATAGCTAGCATCCACTGATGGAGCATCCATTTATGGAGCCACATTATTCTGCCTGACCCTATCAACATTTACATGATTCGTAAGCAATATGCAAGTTTTACAAGCTCTTAATCCATGAGAACAAAGCATTATAAATAATCCCTGGAGCACGGACCTCGGCTGTAACTCCACTCATAACCTACTCAGTAACTGCGCTTCAGTCTCTCTGAAGCCAAGCAAAACAGCATACAGCATGAACAGATCAAGAGAACTTTAAGATGATGAGGAAAAAAACCAACCAACCGAACAGAGGACTCAAGCAGCTGAAGAACAGTACATTTCTCAGCCTTTACATTCAAGAACATCTTACAAATGTCTACAGCAAATGGGTAAACTCACCCCTAGACTAACTTCACTGAAGTTAACATTTTCGTATCAAGAAAAAACAGGCCTAGTATCCTAAAAGTCTGTCGCTAGGTAAAAAATGTCACAGTATGTAAAAACTTAATCAAACCCAGTTGTGAATGCAAATCAATTCCCAGGGTAGTTTTGCCCCTAATAGGTAACTGAGCATATCTCCGTAACTCATCAGCTTTATTAGACAATGGGCTGCTCTCCCCAATTCTTTTGTTACTTACTTCCAAACTGTGGCCAGTAATCTGTTTCAGCAATGACTGCAGAATTTCTGCCATGAAAACAGCGTATGTTACTACTGGTAAACTGGTATTTAGGAATTCTCTGTAAAACTGTAGACCTCCAATAGCATCCTAACTAAAAATCAGAACATAACAATTGATAACAGTTCTATATGTTAAACTTTAAGTAACATAACATCAGCTAAAAACATTCAAGACCTTGATCTTACATCTGGAGTCTGCTAAAACCAACTGCTTCATTTGCGTGGAGTTCAGTGGTCATTTCACAGTTCACATTCCTGTGAACCTTCCTTCAGACACAGTCTGATGGCTGACCTTAACCCTCCACCCTGGTGACATAAGTGTTATTGCTCATCTTCTGAAGCTTTTCTTTATACAACAACCAAAAAAAAAAAAAAGAACCATCAGCTGTAATTTAGGACTCAAAAATCAAATACTTCCAGATTTTTCAAGGTATAGAAAATACGTAACATCACTTCATCCCACAGGAATCAGTTCCTAGAAGGCCTATGGCTGTAAGCTCACACTTGAATATTCAAATCAAGGTACATTTCAAAGAGTTTCCTTAGCATACATTTTACTGCTTACTAAATAACAATTCCAGAAAAATCAGGTTGTCATCCCCATTATCAATTCTGTATTTGCTTGAAACACTACATCTCTTTCTTTGGCCAGTGCCATTTCAATTACAAATGTAATGCCTTGTTTTCAGTGTAGGTATTTACATTAGATGCAAGAATACTAGAATCTATGTGTGAGAGTCTTCCTAAACCACATGTGAAATAGAACAAAGTATTTGTGACTTTGGATACCCGAACTCAGTTGAGGTAACCTCTGCAGCACACAGCTCCACATTTACAGACAGTTCTGATCCTCTTTCTGGATGAGCTAAGACCATCAGCAGAGTCTGAAGTCAGATCTATTGAGCCTGTGACACAGACAAACACAAAAAAAGGAGTTTTAAAGACAGACTGAAACTGTGCTAGGTATTCAAACAGCTTCAAAAGCCTTCCACCACCCCAGTTCTTAGAAGAATTGTGTGTGAAGCGATACTCGGATTCTACCGACACAGGTCACAACTACACAAGACCCAGCACATATATCAGAATCCAAATCTCAATGAACTCAAGTGTTGTAGCCTCAGTTCCGTATCCATACAGTCAGCTGAGACTGCAGTCTGCCTCCTACGTCGGTGTCGCAGACACCACAAAAAAGAGGAGGTTTAAGGATTTCAGTAAGATCAATTTGTCAGGATTTAAGGAGAGCGTCTGTAAGAACGAGGTACAACTCTGGAGTAGAGATGCTTCCCTGAAAACAAAGTAGCAGGGCAAATGACGCGTCGCTGTTGTGGAAAAATCGTTTGAACACAAAGCTGGACACACACAACACCCCTGCCAGCAGTCCTCAAATTTTCTTATGGAAAAATAATGAAGTCACAGAATGGTTTGGGTTGGAAGGGACCTTTGTAGTTCAGCTAGTTCCAACCCCCCTGCCGTGGGCAGGGACACCTTCCACCAGACCAGGTTGCTCAAAGCCTCATCCAGCCTGGCCTTGAACACTGAATGGAAGATGGATTATCAAAGAATCATCAAACAGCCCAGGTTAGAAGGGACCTCAGAGGATCATCTGGCCCAACCTTTTGTGGGAAAGGGAGCCTAGATGAGACTATTCAGCATCCCATCCAATCGCATCTTAAAAACCTCCAGCGGTGGGGACTCCACCGCATTCCTGGAGAGGTTGTCTCAGTGAATGGTGGTTCTCACTGTAAAAAAAAAAATTTTGGGCTGACCCTCTTCCATCCTGAACACCTGTTCCACAGAACCTACATCCACAACCGAGCCCTCCAGACACCAGAATGCGAAGACAAACCTACAGTGCCTTAGGCCACTTGGCTGTCACAACCACCTTTATCACTAGCGGGTCACTTAGGACGTTGTTGACCGTAAATGCCTCTGAAGAAAGGAAAGCTTTATAGAACAGTATCCTGACCATTCTTTTGAGCATTCTGGTAACAAATCTTTAAAATAATTTGCCTTGCCACACGTTCCACCCACAAGCCTTTGCGGTGAGCTAGGAGCACCGAAGGAGGTAACGCGCTAGAGGTGCACGCAGAAGCCTCTGGGTGGGATCTGTCTGCACTGAACATCAACAAGCGACGTCCGTTCTGACCCGAAACACTAACATCAGTCAGGCTGCAACAGAACCTGCCCAAGCCCCAAACCCCACGCAAGCACAGTCAAAATTGCAGACCTTTCATCTGATAGTCAAAGGTTAGCTCCTCTCCAGCCTTGATGGTTCGTGTAGAGAACAGCGCTATTCGAGGAAGACGCAGATCGAGGTTATCAATAAACACGTTGAAGACCTGAAGATTTGGATCACACTGCAAGGCAAAAAGTCATGTAGTTGAACAACGCACAGTAAGTTTCACTGAAGTGTTTAAATAAACCAAGGTCACAAGAAAGGAGGAACCGGTTCTTGTCTCAGTGACAGAAGTCTGAAAACAAGTTATCTGCTGAAATCAACAAATTACCTTCCTGAAATAGTGTTAAAGGAGAACACTCCTCGCTCAGTTGAGTCCTTTCAAGAAGGCAACCGTTACACAGTACGCAGAGTACCCTGCAACAGCCTATTAAAAAACATGGTTCCTTCAAAGATGGCACGATGACAATGCAATTCAAGATACTTTCAGAGGCTTCTACATGCAAAATCCACAAAAAGTATTAAAATAGAAAAGAAAGAAAAACAAGCTTGCATTTCAAGCCACAAACACTCACTATTCTGTACTTAGCTTTAGGCATTGCTTCCAGGTCAGAAATCATATTTTCATACCGTGAATAAATTTCTATTTTCAACTGCTAACCTGCTTTGCTTCTGAATTATCTGCTGTGGGCTGGATGGCAGGAGGAGGGTCAATGACACTAAGGAGGAACTAGAAACCATGTTGTCGTTGTTTCTGGATGAAGTGTTTGGACTCACTGAGGCTGCGTGTTAAAGGCTGCGTGTTTTGCTCTGTAGCAGCAGCCCACGTTAAACAATCAGAAGCGAAGTCAGACGCTTCACTTTATGCTGAAGAGCAAGAATACTTCACTCCCATTTCTGACAGTGAAGAGCAACTGGCTGTATCTAAAACTCACCTTCACCCTTCTCTCTGGCAAGCCCACATGAAACACAAATGTCATCAGCTCCCATATCTGAAGACATGAACTTAGTGTATTGGTAGAACCCTGACTGCAGGCCTCACACAGGTCACATCAGCAAGAACAATCTTTAGTTCAGGAATGATACAGAATTCCTTTACAGTTCAGCCTTCGTGCATTAGGTACTTCAGTTGAACCGGACATAAAACACGACAAAAGTTTCCTATTTAAAACCTACTTGAGTTCTCTGGCAAGTTTAGATTTGATATGAGGAGAGAAAAAGGTATCTACAAGGGAGAAATACCAAAGAAAGCATGGGAATTTTCTTTTTTTCCCCCTCTACGAATGTTTGAGGGACGACATTCAACATAACCCCCCTTCCTGCCCTGCTATAAAATAACACATCGATTCCTACTGTCTTTGACTCCTCAAAAATTTTATTAGAGTAATTCACACACGTTCTGTATTTTAGTTACTTGGAAGAAAAGCCCACCCAAACCAACCTTATTCTGGTTGCCTAGAACCAGCGGGTTCAGTGACAACCAGACATGCACACTTCAGGCAGCATCTCATTCCCAGAGTTTTGTAGTTGGTCCTACTCCAAGCAAAGCTAAGTATTCCATTCTATTTATTATGTCATTTAACTGACTGGACTGTGCTGGCATGAAAGAAACTACCCCAGAGAAACTGTGCACATGGTAATGTATTGGGTTTGCATGGCAAGGTTTTGTCTGGGGTGGGTTACAGGGGTGGCTTCTGTGAGAGCTGCCAGAAACGTCCTCTATGTCCGATGGAGCCAATGCCAGCAGCTCCAAGACGGATGCACTGCACACCAAGGCCGAGCCCTTCAGTGACAGTGGTAACACCTCTGGGATAACTTGTTTAAGAAGGTGTGTGGGGGCAGGTGGAAATGGGAAGGGTAAACACCAGCTGGAGAAAGAGTGAGTAATAGGGCACGTGAGATGCAAGGCACCAAGGTCAGCAGAGAAGGAGAGGGAGAAGGTGCTCCAGAGGCTGGAGTGGAGATTTCCCAGCAGCCTGTGGTGAGGCCAGTCGAGGGTCACGATGGGGCAGAGACCCACATGCAGCCCAGGGAGGACCCCATACCGGAGGAGAAGGGTAATGTCCAAAGGAGGCTGTAACCCTGTGGGCAGCCCACGCTGGAGCAGGATCCTGACAGGACCTGTGACCCCACAGAAGGAGGAGCCCAGACCGGAGCAGGTTTGCTGGCAACCTGGGTGGACCCAGGCTAGAGCAGGCTGCTCCTGAAGGATGGCACCCTGTGGGAGGGACCCACACTGGAGCAGTTTGTGAAGAACTGCAGCCTGTGGGAAGGACTCACACTGGGAAAGTTGGTGGAGGACTGTCTCCCATGGGAGAGACCTCACGCTGGAGCAGGGGCAGAGTGTGAGGATCCTCCCCTGAGGAGGAAGGAGTGGCAGAAACAACGTGCGATGAACTGACAACAACCCCCATTCCTTGTCCCTCTGTGCTGCTGTGGGGGGAGACCCACACTGGAGCAGTTTGTGAAGAACTGCAGCCTGTGGGAAGGACTCACACTGGGAAAGTTGGTGGAGGACTGTCTCCCATGGGAGAGACCTCACGCTGGAGCAGGGGCAGAGTGTGAGGATCCTCCCCTGAGGAGGAAGGAGTGGCAGAAACAACGTGCGATGAACTGACAACAACCCCCATTCCTTGTCCCTCTGTGCTGCTGTGGGCAGGAGGGAGAGAAAGTGGGAGTGAAGCTGAGCCCGGGAAGAAGGGAGGGGTGGGGGGAAGGTAATTTAAGATTTGATTTTAGTTCTGTTCTACTCATTATCTGATTGGCAATAAATTAAACTAATTTCCCCAAGCTGAGTCTGTTTTGCCTGTGACAGTAACTGGTGAGTGATCTCCCTGCCCTTACCTCCACTCACAAGCCTCTCGTTATATTTTCTCTCCCCTGCCCAGCTGAGGAGGGCAGTGACAGAGCAGCTTCACAGGGCACCTGGCCTCCAGCCAGCGTCAACCCACCACAGAAACTATCTACAGTAGAAAATATTTCTAGCACAATTAAGCTAATTCTCCAAATTCATAGTATACAAAACAAGGTCTTACACTGTGATTCACGAAGTGGGACACATTTCCATATCGAGCTGCATCTACTGTAAATTCATCTGAGTCATAGTCCAAATCAAACAAGTATGTATTTCCCTGGTTGTCATAGAGCCTGCCCCGTCTCTCTGCTTCCTCACTTGTAATCACCTAAAAAAAAGAGAAAAAAAGAAAAGTGCATCATATTGATAACTTTTACAAAACTAAAACAAAGATCACCAAGTCAGAAAAAAACCTATTTGGTAAAAAAGACCACATTCACTTTGACGTTGAAACAGCATTCCATCTCTAATGAGTTACGGATACAAACATACAGCTAAACTAATTAGTGACTGAGGCTTCTCTGGCTGTAATTTGTCAACAGCAGATGCATGACACTACCTTGTCCCAAGCAAAAAACCAACCACCAGCAGCTTCTATTCAGAGTCTCGACGATGACAGATAAAATCAACTGTTTCTGCTCCAAGTTTCTATGCACGCAATTTCTTCATTAGACCCAGAAAGCCTTGTTTACTTCCATGAAGTAAGGTTTCAGCTTTCTCCCTTTGCACAGATGAAGATCAGCAGGTATCAGTCTTTACAACCCAGTCACAGCTACAGCCTAGCATTCATCTCCTTCCTCCCCTAGAAGCATCCCTTCCTGCTATTTCTGACTACGATGAAAGATCCTATTCATGACAACTTAGACACATCACTCCACAAAGCTGAATCTAAGCAATTAGGCTAGCTGGTACTAGCATGAGGTAGGAATCCAGAAACTCCCCAGACCCACAGTCACTTCTGACAGCTTCACCAGCTTAAACAACTTCATCTGCAGCCTGTTACGTTAAATGTATTCTGTTGTGCAGACTCAGCAAAGAAATCACAATTTGGCAGCAAGACGGATATGGAATGTACAGTAACTGAACAAAATAAAGCCTTTCTGACAGTTCAGATTTGAGAACTTACTCAGCAATAGGGAATAAATAGATACAGGTGAAGGGGTAAATACACACTCCTTTAAACAACAAAATTACATAATCATCTTCCTGCATTAACCCTCCAACAGAGGTATTTTGAGTGACTGACCTCTTGAATGTTTACAAGCAAGGTACAAACACGAAGAGAAATACAGTAAAGACCATAAACAGTTGTATGAAGGGGCAGAAGGAATTGAGTCAACTCAGTAGCAAGGCAGATTTGTGGCAGAAATACAACAAACTGGATCAGAGAGGCTGCCAGGAGCTACTGATGCAAAGAGCCCTAGAGCAGAGGCTGAACAAGACAAACACAGGACAGTACAAACTCTCAGGAGTAACTCAAGGTTTGTATTTTATAGCATGAAAGTTCAGTTTGAAATAGTATAAGATTACAAGTCTTATTCTTGATATTAATCAAAAGTAATAAATATGTCTGGAAACTACCTTGAAAGTTCAGACAAAGGTACTGACAGACTGGGCAGGGAGTTTGGTAACAACTGTGCCTGGGGAACAGCAAAAACTGCAATAGCAATAGAGATGATCAGGGAAGAATGACTATGACTGCCAAGAAAAGAAGGACTTGCCTTTAGAAATACTAATAGGGCACATATCTAAAATAATCGTTTTAGAATCACAGAACGGTTTGGGTTGGAAAGGACCTTAAAGATCATCCCGTTCCAACCCCCCTGCCATGGGCAGGGACACCTTCCACTAGACCAGGTTGCTCCAAGCCTCATCCAGCCTGGCCTTGAACACTTCCAGGGATGGGGCATCCACAGTTTCTCTGGGCACTTCTCTTTCTATTTTGAAACACACAGAATCAGTATTCTGTTTACATTCAACCCTGTACAATTGGAATGGAGGACGATTTGGACAAGATATTTTTTCTGTCACCTGGAATGTCTATTTATCATACTCCTCTACTCAAAAGGGGACTTAGCTAGTATACAGTAGAAGTCAAAAATTGTTAAAATGGAGAAAAAACTTAAAGACTTTCTCCAACATTTCCATTATTGTAAATAATTAATCTGCATGAGAAATACATACCTCTCCAACATACTCCATCACAAAACTGTTGGTTCTAATTTTCTGGAGGGTTTTTACTCCCCAGCCACGGCCATTGTTAGTTCTGAAGATGCAAAGAGAATACGGTGTACCCTTCTGTACTATCCTATTTGGGCAGTCAGGCCCACACCTACAAAACGAATTGCATTCATAGATGGGCAAGCCGGGCTGGATTTTCAACTTCTTTTGTTTATTGTAAGCCAAAATAAATCCAGCCTCCTTTGGACAGCACTTCTCAGCAGGGCAGTCAGCACACTCACAGCCGGTCGTTATTCCATTTATTACATTGATTCCCGGAGCAGGTTTATACTCATTAATGTAGTAAAAGTCTAAAGGAGGGCCTTCAAGATCCACAGTGTTTTCTACCAGAATCATTGCCTTATGATTCTTTTTCCTGTTGAGTTCTTCTTTCCATCTCTGCAGTGCTATTCTTTGCTTAGCCTTCTTTACAATGTAATCTGCAACAGCAGGTTTTAAAGCTTTAGTATGGTTTCTCACTTTCAGCGCTTTGCCTTCTCTCACCCGAGACAAGTATTCATTCTTGTCACTAAGAAAGTTTTGAAGAAGCAATGGGCATTTCAGATTTTTCTGAGGTTCCCAAGTATTTGAAGATTCTGGCCATCCTTTCCATTTCACAAGATAGTATTCTGTGCCCTTGAAATACAGAAACAGATACAGATTTAGCCACATTTCGCTTTGCTGAAATCCAGCGCCACAGACAAACACAAGAGAGCTCTGGAGTTAAAAAACGGCATACAGTGCGGAAGGTCTTGATGTCCCATAACAATCAGAACTGGGGAGAAAAATCAAGTTTTCCGTTTGCAAATTAACATACAGTACAACTTTGGATACTTTATATATCATCTCTAGGGGGTGAAGAAACAGCTGGGATGAGCTCTGATGGCTAACATAATACCTGGAGGAGGCTAGTTTGTTAAGGCCGTTAAGTAAGTTGTACTCACTAGTTGCATGACCCGTACGCACAAGCAGAACGGAGTCATATCACATGCGGAACACAGAACATCAAATCTAGACTTACTGAAAACATCTCTAGAGAACACTATGTCATATCAATCATCCTCCCGAAGGAGTATTCATTAAAAACACATAATACTGTTTTTATTATCAAGAAGCATACGTTTCGTACTTTTTTTAAAAAGGCCAAATAACTGTAACAAGGCCAGATCCTGAGACTGAATTTCACTGGCACGATCAAGCCGTAGGAATCCAGTTGCAGCACGTGGCCCTAGCTCTTCATCAAACAGACTACAACAGTCAAGAGAGAAATAAAGACTGTTATCTGCAAAGAAAGGAGAAGCATCATAAAACATACCAAGCTACAGCCTAAAAGCATCAGTGTTTTGCTTTACTTCTAGACACGCAAAGGCAAAACATTTCATATTCTAGCATCTCTGCGATTTCAGAAAAAGATCTGCCTTCTACATACCGAAAGCAGTAGTTATACTGCTCTCTGTTTAGAGTTCAAAGTTTAAAAGGTATTTGACATCAGCAAGAGGTTTGTCCTCACAGCCTGCTACTTTATGTTATGAGCAAAAACACTACCTTTAGCTCACTTCCAAATTTCAGCTGAAAGAGTGACCAAATTGGTCTGTGTTTCTCTTACCTCTTCTACCTTGTAGTCACACAAATATTCCACCTCATAACTCTTTAGACTCCTGTTGGTGATTCCAATGGATTTACATCTGAGATTTTCCTTCCTACATAATTCTTGGAGGGTCTCAAGTGAAGCTAGACATGGCACATACCAAGCTACAATAAGAAAATTGGTAAAGAATCCTATTTAATGTCTCGGCTAAATTGAAATCATTATGCCTTATCCCAGAGTCCCCACATTATCATTTGCGACAGCAGTCCACGAGCCTCTTGTACAACTACGGCGTCTCACGGTCAACCTCGACCCTTCCCTAAGGGTTAAGCGAAACCCGCCAACGATTCCCTTCCTGCACCTTTATTCTGTACAGTCCAGTTTATAAAGAAGGACAAATATTCTGGAGGACACAGACTTCCACAGGTAAAAGCGGCGCTAAGAACCGAGCGATGCCCCTACAACTACAGCACCCCATAACCGAACTACGGCGACAAGGAAACCTCCCGTCTGCAATAAGGCCGCCAAATATCTGCAGTTAGTCAAGTGGAATCGAGCACTTGCGATGCAACCATGGTGACTGGATAAGGAAAGAAAGGTCCCCAGCGCTCTTCCAGAAGGATCGCGGGTGCCTTGTCAGCTCGGCGGATTTAAAAGGAACGCGAGGCTCCGCGGAGAGCGCCAGCTCCCCCCCCCCAGCCCGGGAAGGGCGGCTGGGGTGGGCTGAAGTTCAGAGCAGGAGCGGCACGGCC